AGGATGTGAGTTTTTGTGTTTCTTTCATTTTTTTTTAAATTTGGGTGGGAGGAAGTGGACCATCTTAGAAAGGGTTACTATAACCAAAACCAGTGATATTTGGTTGGAGTAAGCCTTTAATGCTGGGTGTCCAGCATAGTTGGTGATGATGCAGATGGTATTTCAGGAGACATTGAACCTTGCATTGACATCTCCCTTACTGTGCCACCTTTAGACTTTTTTTTCCCAGGACCTCTGCTTCCCATCCATTGTATGAATATCAAACAATATTTGGAGTAAATAAATTTAAAATGACAAACCTGGACCACTGGAAACAAACAAAGAAGCATTAATATGCAAGTGAATCACCAGAAACTTCATCTGTGGCTTTTCAGGTCACGTTCAGAGTTAGGTGCCTCAGATAATTAGTTATAAATAATTAAGTGGTTACATTATATTCTGTGAGTCGTAGTGCTAGCCAACAAGATACTGGGCTGAATTTATTAAGCTCATAAACTTCACTATGTTGACTAAAGACTAACGTTTAAAAATTACAGACAAAACATTAGGTGTATAGCTGATCAGGTTCCCAGGACAGAACAGAAGATTGGGCTCAGGCCGAAACTACTAAATCTATGGAATCTATACAATCAATCTGAAAACCGGAGTCCATCATAATTGTTGAATGGAATATGGACAACTGGTAAAAGGGTACAGGAAAATCTCTAAAATAAACACAGTGTATTTATCTCTTTGCAGGTCTCTGACCACTGGGGTTTTTATTCTTTCTTACAGAAAGCCTGCTGTTGTCCTGTTGGCCATTTTTGGTGATGGACTGTAAAAATGCTTATACTACCCTATAATGTATTATGTCAGTATAGATATATACAGATAGAAAGAGATACTTAAAATTGAAAAGGACTACACTCATAGGACTTTAAGTAGAACAAATTCATAGTTTTATTTTAAAGGCACTGTTCAGGCCCTAAAGTAATCCAGTTTCATGCCCCATTATCAATTCATAAACGAAAACATAAAAGAGAATCAATTCATGAAGAGAATCTGCACTTTCATTAATTAAATTGGGAACACCTCTCTGGCAATCAAAAGGGCTTCCTGAATTCTTACTGGAGAAAAAAGTGAGTAAAATTTATATTTAGATTTTGGAGGGGCATTCTGGCACTGATAAGGCTCAAGTAACATTCTAAATGGAGGGACCCCATCCCGCCGGGCTCTGGGGAGAGGAAGGGGTTAAACTTACCTGTTTCTCCAGCACCGGGCGGAGAGCTCTCCTCCTCTCCGCCTCCTCTCCTCCTTCTTCGGCTGAATGTGCATGCGCGGCAGGAGCTGCGCGCGCATTCAGCCAGTCTCATAGGAAAGCATTTACAATGCTTTCCTATGGATGCTTGCGTCTTCTCACTGTGATTTTCAAAGTGAGAAGCACTCAAGCATCTCTAGCGGCTGTCAAGAGACAGCCACTGGAGGCTGGATTAACCCATTTATAAACATAGCAGTTTCTTTGAAACTGCTATGTTTATAAAAAAAAGGGTTAACCCTACCTGGACCAGGCACCCAGACCATTTCATTAAGCTGAAGTGATCTGGGTGCCTATAGTGGTCCTTTAAAGTAGAATGGCAATTGAACACACTCAGTATTTCAGCCCCATTACTGTCAAAGCCTATGAAAAGTCTGGTAATAAAAAGTTGACTGTATGCTGAGCGGAGATGAAGAAACTATAAGAATTTGTAATCAACAATTATGGCCTATAAAGAATTTCTGAGTCAGATTTTACAGAAATATTGGGGGATAACAGTCATGCATATATGCGTAATAATGGATGTGTATTATATTAATATCTGCATAGCTACAGCAACCCATATATATATAAATGGCAATAATAATAATAATAATAATATTAATAATGACCCTCTGGGAAATTTACAAATGGACCATTCGCTGTTCCCATACGGGATTATCAATCCAATAAAGTATTTGTAGTCCTCTTCCCATGCTATACCCAGTGTGCATATAAATTCTGACTAAAGCAACCGGGTTAAAAGGGCACTATAGTCACCAAAACAATTTTAGCACTGTCTGGTTAATTTAGAATTTATTATCTCCTGCACTGTTAATAAATTGCTAGACCTTGCAGGAGGCTCCTGTGTGTGATTAATTTTATAGAGCAGGAGTTAAAAACATCTATAGTAAGTTAACAACCTTTTTTTGGTTCCTGCAAACTGTATCAGTCACAGCCAGGGGAGGTGTGTCTAGGGCTGAATAAACAGAAATAAAAGTGATATAACTCCTAAATGGCAGAAAATTGAGCAGTGAAACTTCTGAGGCATGATCTGTACTCAAAAACTGCTTCATTAAACTGAAATTGGTTTGGTGACTATAGTCCCTTTGGGCAGACTAAATGGGCCTAATGGTTCTTATCTGCCATCACATTCTATGTTTCTATTAGCAGGGTTTAGGTCTGTTCTCATTTTGAATCAACAATTATCTTCCATATTCAGTCGGTATTGATGAAGCAATTAATATTTTTATTCTGCTCTCTTCTAAGTTCTGATAATTTTACTGTGACAAAGTTCTATGAGCACATGTTTAGATTAATGTGTATTCATTGAGTGAACACATATCTAAATTTAAATTAGCACTTTATTCACGGGATTGTTTTGCGCCTCCATTTATGTATAATTTGTTTGAGAAATGAGGAAAATGTAATCATGGTAAAAGTTTTCGTTTTTTCCAGCACTCTCTTGAATTCTGTTATGGCTGAAAAAAAACCTTAAAAGTCTAGTAAATATCAGAAAGGGAAAAAAAGCGACCGGTTAATAACTGCAGAACAAGGTAATTTGCATATTAATTAGAAAACATAAAAAGCCACTGAAATAGAGTTGCGGGATACTATTTGTGCAGATATGATTTTTGTGCAATTTCAAATTGGGAAGGAGAAAACCTAACAATAGGATAAAGATATGTCTGGAAAAAAAGACATAGTATTAAAAAGCTTTATTATATCACATAGACCACAAGCAAGTGTAGAAAATGTTTACTTATAAATAGCCAAGATGAAAATGATGGAATAAAGAATTTAGCAATATATTTAATTTCAATATAGTGTACGATAAGGAGCCTTTATACTAAGCTTTATGTTGGAGTGCTATCTCATATGAAATCAATTAATTGTGGATACATTAATACTGTTTTTGTTACACCTGTATTCATAACTAATAAAACCCCATTAACCCCATTAAGGGCCAAACTTCTGTAATAAAAGGGAATCATGACATGTCACACATGTCATGTGTCCTTAAGGGGTTAAACATCTTATTTCACACACTACTAAAATAAAATTGTACATCTACACTATATTTACTAGATGCTTATAATGGATAATAATCTAAATATATTAACTGGCTCACCTGATAGCTATCAGCAATCCATCCCAAGAAGCCAACTAGCAATTTTGGAGTTTTGAAAATAATTTTGTGGTTTCAAGTAACATCTCACTAGCAACTGGTAGTCAGCTCCTTGGGATCTACTGTTGATATGTCCTGAGACATATTTTCCCCATTACGAGTCTACCCTGTGTTATACAGCAGGTAAACCTCTAATACCAACTGTGTGTAAAAATGTAGTAGAGTGGTTCTTTGGGAAGGAGAAAATGGTAATGCCCGCTAGAGCTACAGACGAGTACATGCTAAATGGTCTAAATGGCTTAGTTACTTTATCTGCATTGATTGAGAGCAAGAATTACTGTAATAATGTGAACTTCTGATTTATTGTCATGCTGTATAACTGGTCATTATGGTTATTGATTGAGAGTTATGTGTTTTATACAGTTCATATCGGATTTTACATTTCCTAAATGGAATTGCTGTCTGCGTAGTACCTTTTCCAACTTTACAGTTAGAGTATCTAAGTGTTAATGAATTGTGATTTATTATCAGTAAATTGTATCCACTTTTTTTTCAGTAAGTTTGTAACAAACCAGGAAGTGGCTCAGACGACCTTAACACGTCCATTATTTTCTACTAAATCTGAAATAGTGCGAGATTATGGAACATGTAGTTAAGTACTTGGTATCATTTCCGTTCATCAGATATGGATACTTATCTGCTAGCTGGAATGACAGACAGGCCTGCATCTAATGTATATTAGTTTGGATCCTGAACTGAGAATAAAATGCACATAATTAAACAGACACTATAGTTATCAGAACAACTACAACTTAATGTAGTTGTTTGGGTGTCTATAGCTTGTCCCTGGCTTTTTAATGTAAACACTGTATTTTAAGAAAAAAAGGCAGTGTTTACATTACTGCTTAGTAAGACCCTGAGTTGCAATCACTCAGACGGCCACTAGAGGTGCTTCCTGGGTCTGTGCTGCATAATGTGAACTACTGACTTTCAGCGTCTCCATGCTTTTCATGGAGTTACTAAATGTTCCTCATAGAGATGCATTGAATCTGGCACAGTGTGCTGTTATGCTGCGCATGTGCAATAGGTTCCCAATGCTTTTCTATGGGAAAGCCTTGGATTGGCTGAGATCATCAAAATTCTCAGCTAAGGAGGCGAAGCATGGGCATGGCCAGCAACAATAAGACCTGTGTGGTGATGGAAAAAGGTAAGCAAACTCCAATTTTTCATGGGGAGGGGGGGGAGTTGGAGGAGGGGGGGGGGTGAGGGGCAGGGGAGCAGACACCTAAACAGTGTTTTCACACTTATAGTGTCAGGAATAAACATTTGTATTCCTGACCCTATAGTGTTCCCAGTGGCGTACACATGACCCATGGGGCCCCGGTGCGAAAATTGATCCGTGGGCCCCCCCCCCGGCGCGCGGGCCGGGCCGCAACACATGGCGGTGGGCACCTGGTCGCAGGGGTTACAGGGCTGCGACCCCTGCGACTGCGGTATGTACGCCAGTGCATGCAGATGCACACACACACTTAAAGGACCACTCTAGGCACCCAGACCACTTCAGCTTAATGAAGTGGTCTGGGTGCCAGGTTCAGCTAGGGTTAACCCATTTTTTCATAAACATAGCAGTTTCAGAGAAACTGCTATGTTTATGAATGGGTTAAGCCTTCCCCTATTTCCTCTAGTGGCTGTCTCATTGACAGCCACTAGAGGCGCTTGCGTGCTTCTCACTGTGATTTTAACAGTGAGAGCACGCCAGCGTCCATAGGAAAGCATTGTAAATGCTTTCCTATGCGACCGGCTGAATGCGCGCGCAGCTCTTGCCGCGCGTGCGCATTCAGCCGACGGGGAGGATCGGGGGAGGAGAGCTCCCCCGACCAGCGCTGGAAAAAGGTACGTTTTTACCCCTTTCCCCCTTCCAGAGCCGGGCGGGAGGGGGACCCTGAGGGTGGGGCACCCTCAGGGCACTATAGTGCCAGGAAAACGAGTATGTTTTCCTGGCACTATAGTGGTCCTTTAAAGGACCACTACAGACACCCAGATCACATCAGCTCAATGAAGTTGTCTGGGTGTCAGGTCCCTCTAGTTTTAACCCTGCAGTTGAAAACATAGCAGTTTCAGAGAAACTGCTATGTTTCACTGAGGGTTAATCCAGCCTCTAGTGGCTGTCTCACTGACAGCCGCTAGAGGAGCACACTGAACGTCCATAGGAAAGCATTGAGTAATGCTTTCCTATGGGCGGTTTGAATGCGTGTGCGGTCTCATTCGGAGCTAAGAGGCTGAGGGATCCCCAGCGCCAAAGGAGTCCGGCGCTGGAGAAAGGCAAGTGCTGAAGACACACACACTCTCACTTAGAGACGCATACACACTGGCTAACAGAGACACACTCAGCGACAGACATACATACACACTCACACACTCACTTACAAAACATACACTCTCATTGACAAACACTCACTAACAGACATCAAACAGACTCACTAAGACACACACACTAACACTCACTCCAACACTCACTCTAACACTAACACTCACACTAACACTCACTCAAACACTAACACTCACTCAAACACTAACACGTTTTTTTTTTTTTTTTTTTAAATTTAATCCCCCCACCTTCCTTACCTTTTGGGGGGTCCAGGGGGATTCCCTGGGGTCCAGTGGTGGTGCTGCTGGGCTCCTGGGCGGGCAGTCTGGGTGGCCGGTCGGGCAGGCAGGCGGGCGCGCGAGGGAGCACTCAGTGCTTCCTCTTCAGCTCCCGCGCCGGCGCTGGAAGAAGCGCGAGGGAGCTGAAGAGGAAGCACTGAGTGCTCCCTCGCGCGCCCGCCTGCCTGCCCGACCGGCCACCCGCCCAGTGGTGTGTGTGTGACAGCAGGGCCAGCCTCGGGGGGCCCTGAGGTGGCCGGCTCCTGGGCCCCCCAGGGGAAGAGGCTGGCCCTGTGCCCCCTGGTGGGCCGGGCCCGGTCGCAACCGCGACCCCTGCGACCCTGGTATGTACGCCACTGAGTGTTCCTTTAATCACCATTGGCCATAAAAAGAAATTTAAAATGAGCAACACAAGTATAATGTTGAATAGAAAAGGGTTTTGCAGCTTCAGTTAGATTCAATTATCATTAATGCAGTTTGTCAAGAAACACAAGTGTATAGGAATATTTTCACTGGATTTATTCAACAATAAAACTATGCAGAATCAAATATTTCCTGCTTCTTAAGTTTTCAGCCATCAGATATAGAATATATACTTTGACATAACTATTTAGTGAACCAAAGTCATAGAAAATTCAATACAATTTCAGTCAACAGAGGAGGGGGGGGGTATCCACATCAATGCCAAAGAGAGCGGATAAACATGCCTAAATTGAATAATTTCCAATAACCTTCAAAGGACGGAATGTATCACTTTTGACAAGTGTAGAAGATGTATGAAGGAAAGCCTACTTCATCTAAATATGAATAGAGTTATTGTTCAAGAGAGGACTTGCTATTGTAATATTATGAGGTATAAACAGAACAAAGGGCAAGTTAGAGAAGAAAATAAACTCTTCAACAAATTCAGAAATCTTAAAGGCACAGTCCATTGCCCAAATAAAATAAATAAATAAAAATAGCTGTTTAGTAGATATTTCACCAAAGAAAACATTCATGCACTTAGTTATACATGTTTTAATTGGAGTGATATCTAAAAACAGCTTGCAAAAGCTGCAGATCACTTCACTGCAGCTTTTTCAAGCCCTCCTCTGCTAACCCAGCCCAGACTTTCTGCGGCTGTCCAATCACAGACCTTCCAATGCCACACAATGAGAAGTCTTTGCAAGGCAGGTGCTCTGATAAATTGCTGCCTCTGGGGTTTAGCTACACTGAGCTAACCAAACCAGGAAGTAACTCAATTCAGCAAAAGTACGGCGATTTATACTGGTTAGAGAATCAAAATTTATATCTTTTGTTACACTTTTGTAATTAGGTCTTAAGAAGGCTGGAAACAGATTAATGGTTCAGGTTTCTGTAATGCAAGACTAACTTGTAGTTATAATACAAATAATAAATCATATATATATATTTTTTAATTCTTTATTTTTGTAGTGCGGGTAGGTACAGAGGTACTTCAAATGCCAGATCAGCGTGTATCAATGTATAACAACATATAAAAGAGCTTGACAGTGGCTTGTATAATCGCACATTTTTTTTTTTATGCATTCACTATTACCCTCAGGTTATTTAACATTTAACAGTAGTTGCTTGGCATAGCAGGGCATAACATATTTTCTACATAAAGGAGACGTAGTTGTATGGTAAGATTGACATATATGCTATATTGTGTGGTCTCTAGGAGTGTCATTGCATTAATATTTTAACGTGTGTATACTTAAGTTTTATCAGTAGCGGACAATATCTTGAGTACACTAGAACTGATCATTAGCAAAACAGAATGATGGGGACTACAGTAAAGGAACTGCTGTAGTGCTTAAAGCTAAGTGCTAAGAATGTCGTGGGAGCTGTCTCTTGGGGGGGTGCTCCAAACTGTGTGAACGGGCAAACCTTAACTGCTTGGGAGGTGTACTCCGGATTGCGACAGTCTGAAACATGCTCTCAGGTTGCAAAGTAAGGCATGTCCATCGTGAGGCACATTATTGTGTACTTCAACCTATGCCCAGTGCAGGAATGTCCTGAGATTTGGCGTTATGGGCCTCTTCACTGGTGCTTTTGTGCCAGGGTTCGGTTCCAGTTGTAGGCGGTGGATCTCCTTATAGTGACTCGGTTTTCAGCTGTGACCATCGAGGGCTGCGGTGTATCTTGCGAGTCCCTGGATCTTGGATTCCATGAGGTGCGTGCGCGTGGGGCTTGCTTATTGATCCAGCTTCTTTGTACGTGGGAGCGAGTGCCTGTCGCCGTTTCCCACCTTATTAATCGTTGGTGTCTGCGTAGCCTGATGGCTGCTCTGGGGGTTTGAGGTAGGGGGCCATAGTGGCATTGCCGGACAGCTGGGCGGATCCATGTAGCCACCTCTCTCACCGCTTGTAGATATGCCACCCCACGGTTGCAGAGTATTGTCCAAAAGCTCCTGCAGAGCCGGTCAAGAGCTTCCAGGGGCTGCATTTGCGTCTGAGTGTCTATGCCTTTTGACTTGGGCCTTTGCTGGGTTGCCACCTTGGCTGTGCCTTGATGGTGCGGTACCCCTGCAGCCCACATAGCCGGCAAGTGCGTCGTCAGGGCTGAACAGTGTGTCCAGTTGGGACTGGGATAACCCCCACCGGTCCAAAGGGGGGGAGGGGTTAGGGTGCAAGTAACGACGCTTGGGAGCTCCGAGGTCGGGGAGAGCGTCCGCCTCACCCTGGCTCCAACTCCCGACATGCATTTGAGTGGTATCACTTGCTTCGGTGGTGCACCCCCAGCATGGATAGTGCACCCCGGTAAGTCCTTGGGCTTCGTAGCCGCCGCCATTTCTCCAATTTCTGCCCGTCAGGCAGGAGCTTGTGTTAACCACGTCTGCCCTGCTTGGTGGTCAGACTCCGCCCGTTTGTCACTTTTTTACCATTGAGACGATAAAAATATATCTTTAGTTAATCCCTTCCTAACATGTACATAAAGAAGCTATTTTTTGCCGTGCTAAATTAAATTTATTTAGATCCAGACCCATTTTCCTTCCTCCTTTCTAACAGCTGTCTCAACCTTTACTCTACATTTATTGTCTCAATAAATCATAATTTTATATTCACACCCTTACATGTTCCATGCTTATTATCCACTATCATCTTGTGTATGGGCTACAATTCTAGAATTTTCCATAGGCATTGTGCTGACCAGCGGTGGAACTACTGCTGGTTTGGCTGCACCTGGCCCACGTGCTGAGGATGCCCTTCTGGAGTGCCATGCAATAGAAATGCGAGGGAGAGGATAGTGAGGAAGGGAGCATGGATTGGTAGACCATCTAACTCTCAACATTCTCAGCCAGCAGACTGGACCCTTCAGCACCCAAAAGGTAGGAAACATGGCTAAAAAGGGTGGCAAAAATATATATATTTTAAATTTTTGCATGAGTATGTGTTTATCTATCTGTGGGTCTGCATATGTTTCTCTATGTGTATCTGCATGTGTGTCTGTATGTGTATCTGTGTATCTACATGTCTATATGTGTGCCTGCATGTCTATCTGTGTGTTTTTGTATCTGCATGTGTGTCAGTGTGTGTCCCTGTGTATCTGTGTGTGTCTGTGTATCTGTATGTGTACCAGTGTTTGTATCTATGAGTGTTATTTTGTGTATCTGCATTTGTGTGTTTGTGTATCTGTATGTGTGTTAGTGTGTGTATATATCTTCAAGGGTGTCGGTATATGTATGTGTTTATCTGCGTGTGTGTTAGTGTGTGTATTTGTGTGTCTGTATCTGTTTGAATGTGTCTGTGTATTTGCATGTCTGTACCTGTGAATGTGTGTCAGTGCTTGTATGTGTATGTGTGTCCGTGTGTGTCAGCGTGTATCTGTATTTGCATGTGTGTATGTGTATATGTATATGTGCATACATCTCAGCATTCAAACGTTAACACTACACACAAAAACATGCCTGCATTTAAATGTCTAAACTACATACAGACACACCTCTAAATTTAAAGAAAAAAACACAACACACAAGTAAACCGCTGCTTTCAAATAGCAACAGTAGATAAAAACACACAACACTACACACAAATACACTCCTACATTCACACATTCCCTACAAAACCATACACACATTAAAACACACAAACACTGCTCACTGCTAAATACAAGCCTGCAAGGAGAGGACAGATGGGGATCTACTTTTTGGCC